TTCATCTTGCAATTTTATAAGAAATGAACATCTCTACAGTAATGCTGTCTCAAGAGATTCATTAAAACCCAGTGACTCTGTGTATGAATAGAAAAAAATAGCCACAATTACCCGACATTTTTTCGTAGATCAAACTCACCAATAGCATACCATTGGCTTCATTCAGCTCAGCCCCGCCTGAGACAGCATGAGTTGTCCTAGTACTGGGCGATCCCAGAGCTGGCGGAAGCCCGGGCACTATGGGGCCCGGCAGATGGGCAGACTTCATGTGTACATTGCTTTGTCCAAGGTGTGGAGAGCCGGTGGACTGATGCATGGGATAAAGCGAGGCATGAGCAGCAGCAGGGTGCGGATGTGGAGGTAGGCCCAGAGGCGGATACTGGTGATGATGGTGATGCGGATACTGGTGCTGTTGGTGATGGAGATGAGGATGATGTGAATGTGAATGCGGGTGTGAATGATGGGTGTGTAGAGAGGGTTTACGAAGACCCAGACTAATCGATGCCGAGTTGTTGGATCGAGGGTATGCAATGCCTGTGGCCGAGGGGGTAGAGGCCGAAGAGCATAAAGTCATACCGGAATTTGAGGGGGGGCAGACGGCTGAAGAAAGAGCCGAGGAGAGCGAAGTAGGCAGAACGAAGGAGAGGGAAGAAGGGAATGAAGATGAGGAGGAGGAGGAAGAAGAAGAGGAGGATGAGGAGGAGGAGGAGGAGGAGAAAGACGAGTTCGTAGGCCCGATAGGCGGTAACGCCGTGGGTGGGAAAGTCGGAGGCAAAGAGAACGGATGCGGCCGACTCGTGGCGAACGCCAACGCCGCTCTCGCCATCATCTCCTCCGTGAGTCCTGGAGGCGGATGATGGTGCTGATAGTGCTGGTGGAGGAGATGGTGGTGCGGTGGCAGCGTCTGTAGATGTGAACAGATGTGATGAAGCCCTGTCTGGGGAGGCAGCGTCTGTGAGAGACCTGCGGAGACTGGAGTCGAGGAGGAAGAGGCATGGGCAGGCGAAGAAGGAGGCAGAAGTCGAGGCAGCCCTGACAGCGAGTGGAGAGGGGCCAGGCATGCTGGGCTCGTTTCGGTGCCATGACAGACTGGTCCGGTGTCTGGAGGAGGAGGCGGGAGGGGTAGACCGGGAAACAGATCGTGAAGAGAGATCTGATGCGAAGCTGTGGAGGTTGGAAGAGGCTGACCTGGAATCGGGTAAAGTCGAGCGGTAGGCGAGTTTGAGGCCGAGACAAGGTGGAGGTGGGCATTGGTGTGTGGCAAGTTTGGCAGAAATTGAGCGTGTGGATGGGAAATTGAGGGCGTCGGAATCTGAGGCAGAGTAGGAGGAGGAGAAGAACCTGGCGGAGGGGGCAAGGAAAGAAGAGGGTAGGGAAAAGTCGGAGTTCCCGATTGTTGGCTGGCCGGGATCAGTCCGATGGAGACGTTCGGACAGAGGCCCGAACAGCCGGAAGCTGTTGCTATGGCAGACGCCGAACCAGGCGGCCCAGATCCTGATGGACACGACTTGAAGACGGGCAAATAGGGCAGACCAAAGAGTCCCTCACCAGCGACAGACGTACAGCCGGGACTCAAAGCCTGGCCCATGCCGAGGGGTTCCGGCGGTGGGGCTGATCGGAGGCCGTTTTGCTTGCCCTCTTCGCCTTCTTTGCCTTCTTCACTCTCTTCACTCTCCTGCCTCGCTCTCAGCCCAGCAAAGCTGGCCGGAGGTGGAGTCGACCATCTTAACTTATCGTTTGAGTATAGGCCCGCAGCAGCTGACGCTGGCAGACCGTTACCATGGAGGCCAGCCATGGCGGCATGTGCGGCTGTGAGGATGGACAGGGCCTGTGAGTAGTGGTTAACCAGGATCCCGGGCGAAAGAGGGCATCCGGTCTCGCCTAGGCTGGATCCCGGCACCGAGGCAGTGGTTGCCATGACACCGGTCTCCGAGGCTGGGCTGGTCATGGGAAGATGGGCAAAATCAAAATCGTCCAATGGTAAACTGACGGGCAAACTGGTCAGAAGAGGTTTCAATTTTGCCTCACTTCCGTTGGTTTCGGCGATCGTCTGGGCGAATGTATCGCCGGAGCTGAATTGTGCCAGTTGAGGCCCGGAAGGCAGACAAGGTGAAGATGAGTCAAGTGTTGAAGTTGGCGTCTGAGTTGGCGTTGGCGTTGTCGTTGACGTCGACGTCGACGATTCGGCCAACGCTAGCAGACCAGGAGATTGGGTCAATCGAGCGGTATGAGCGTCGTGGCTGGGCGTCGAAGTTGCCGAAAGCCTCGTCAGTCGCGATGTCTCGTGACTGGACGGACTGAAGAGGAGACCTCGAGGCATATTTCGAGATGGTAAAGAAGCGGAAATTGTTGTTGGTGGTAGGGTTGGCGGGGATGCAGCAGAGCCGATCGAAGGTGGGGCAATCGGTGAAGCTGAACGAAGTGAGCCAAGGCTCTTGACAGTCCGTTGCGTGAGTGAGCTCCACGTCTGTAGACCCTCATTGGTTGACATGGCGATGTCAGGCGAGACAGTGGTAGCATTCGGGGAACTGTTAAGTCTGGTGCAGTTGTCAAGGCAAGAAGTGATAGTTGGTGTGGCCTCTACTGGACTAGTATTGGCAGATGCAGTTGCTAGGCTGTTATCACCTATTGCGGTGTCGGTATTCGAGGTCTGCCCAGAGGAGGATCCTGAGGCACGATATGACGTCAGAAGACCTGCTATTCGGCGTGAGAAGGCAGTGGCATCATTGAACATGGGACCCCACGACGGAGGGATCGTCTCATCGGGGCTGGTGAGGTCGGAAGAGGACGAAGAGGCCTAAGTATTTGGGTGTATGTGTGTGAATGTGTTCCAGTATGAGCAAGGGAAAGCGAGCATATTTGGCCATTCGCAAAGGTGTGTTTATGTTTGAGTTTTGGAAAAATCATTGACAAAAATAAGGTTAAACCAAACTTTTTATAGAAATTATAACTTTTTCTCTATTTAATTAATACCAATTATAGCAAAAGACACTAGTCTTTAAAAATCTCGTGCTTGAGCTGTTAGTCCTTTCCTTACGCAAATCTAACGACTTTGGGAAGTCTAGTAAAAAATAGATTAAACCAGGTAACCAATATCAACCATTTTCGTTGTGAGGGTGCTTCGAAAATATTAGAGTAAAAATTTTATTATGTTTTAATTATTATTATTAATCAAGTATATTAGTAATAAGAATTTATGCAGCCAAGTATATATGAATAAAAGATGCGTTTCGATTAAGATCTTAGTGAATTATTGTGACAAAACTTTTATTTTCGAAATAAAAGTGAATTGGTATCACCGGAAACCGAAGGAGGATTGCCTTGGAGGGAAGAATGTTAGATTTTGTAAAGAAG